GGGCACTTGGGTTACTTTTGAACTACCAAGTATGTCCTCCGTTGAAAGGGTTTTTGCAAAGGAAACTAACCAAATTTGCATATAAAATGAGGCTAACACAACACCCCACCGAATTCAGCAAAAACGCATGTCCTTCCCCCTTCCAATAGTTATTAAAATGAACATTCATCTAATGGGAAAACCCATATCATAAACAGAGTCCAGTAAATTCTAATATTAACTAATCTAACTAGCGAATACATTTAAGAAGAAATCAGAGGATAACTAAGTATTTCGGATTCGATTCTTTCGGGTGCCTGCGAGAGATAATAATTCTAATTTTGAGTAACAATCATTCAAGCAGGAGCATTGGCTAAAAAAAGACCCATAACCAAAATGTGCAACTCCGGACTGAGGCCATTAGATTGTTAAAATCAGCTGATACTACTAGTTAATGTCTAAAATCTAAATGATAAAAACCATCCAAGAAACCGATAGCACCATCCACTTCCTACTCAATACACATGAGCGCCCACATAGAATTCATGGATCTTAAATTCACAAGCAGAACACAAACCCAGTAACCTTCCTTGCAAAAGGTTGAGTTGTGGTTGTGTCCATGGTGCCATTATAGCGGGACCAGATTGACAACAAATTGGGTCTCTTAACCATATAAAAGCGCTAGATTTTCCAAAGCATAATCAAATAAAGCTAATCAGTGTCTCAAATAACTTAAAGCGAAAAATAAGGGCCCGGTATATGATAATATAATAGCATTTAAAAACCAGCACAAAATCACTGTCTGAAGATCCAATCCAGTGCGTAAGACACTTAAAACACATTAAACATATCCATACTTGAAATTGGGAAAATTTTAAAATTAAAACTCATCAGATCGTTGTTCGCTAATTTTACTACCAAAACAGCAAAATGAACTAGTTTTATAACCAACCAGAAGAAAATCAGTCGACGTTCTGCATAATATCTTCGGCTGTGAACTTAGTACCCTTATCCTTGTCTGCAGCGGCACGACCCTTGGCCTTGCGATCCAGCAGGGCCTTCCTATCCTTGTCCAGCCTGAGCTTGGTGATCACCACCTTGGATGGGTTGATGCCCACGTTCACCGTCGACCCATTGACCTTCTCCCTGGTGATGCGCTCTATGTGGATGACCCATTTGCGCCTGTAAACCTGGACTACCTTGCCTTCGCGACCCTTGTAGGTCCCGCGCACCACCTGAACCTCGTCATCCTTGCGAACCGGCATGGACCGGACATTGTACTTGGACCGGAGGTCTGACGAGATAGGCGAGCTCATCAAAACACGGCGGACGCTCGACGGCGCCGTGAAATGAGCCTTTCGGTTCTTGCGGCGAGAACTGGTCACTCTTGGATTGTACTTCATCTTCGCTCTCCTAGGGTTTGCTCTCTCTGTGACGGCAAATAAGAGAGTGAGGTTTGGCTTAGGGTTTTCTGGGTTCCTTTATAAAGAGGAGTTGGGAATGAAACGACGACGTATGGGACACTATACAAAAAAGAATATCATGGACGGGTTTCAAACTAAAAGAAAAGGCATAAAATTTCGGGAAAAAAATAGAGAAAAGAAGAAAAACCATAAATAAATAATAATATAAAAAATTCAATTGAATTCCTTCTTTTATTAAAAACAAAAATAAAAAAGAAGTATACAAAATTCTTAATGGACTTCATATACTTTTGCTTAGGTATAGGGTAAGGATCAAATCATTTCAGTGTGATTAGGGGTGGTCAATGTCTGTGTTGGATCGATTTCACTTCAAAATTACGTTCGAACTAATTACAATATAATAGTTTGGTTCAGTTCAATTTTGACAAACCGTACAGCCGCATGTCTATATTATTTATATATACAAAAAAGTACGCGCTAGGGCCAAGGTGCCATGTATGAAACAAGTAAAGTCGACTGGTTATACTATTTTTGATCGGCTATACTATTTCTTAACAAATTTCAAAAAGAATATAGTATAGCCGGTCGACTGTATTATATATGTATATATAAAGACCCGCCCAGCATCTATGCGCCACGCGTCAAACGAGTATAGCTGTGCAACGAGTATAGCCGTACGGCTATACTATTTTTAAAGCAAATAATAAAAGCTGATATATACTAACAATAAGTAGTATAGCCGACCGGCTATACTCAGCTTTTCCTTTATGTGCTTTTAAAAATAGGATAGCCGTGCGGCTAGACCCCTTTTTAAAATTGTTTTTTTAAATAGTATAGCCGGACGGCCGTACTGGTTTGGCGCGTGGTGCATAGGCGCTGGGTATACATAGTAGCCGCCCGGCTATACTAGATTCTTTTTAAAAAAATTTAAGACATAGTATAGCCGGGCGGCTATACGCTTTTTCCTTTTTTTTTTTCCAAAAGTAGTATAGCCGGCCGGCCTTACGCGTTTGACACGTGGCACGTCCTTTTTTGTATATATCAATCGTATAGCCATGCAGCTATACGCTTTAAAATGAAAATTTAATCGAAATTTCATCAACCTTCGCCACGACAGGTATTTTTTAAAAAGATATTAAAAAATATATAATTAGTTTCTTTACTTTTATTTTTTGGCCTACTTCTTTAATTTAATATATGTAATTAAGTAATATGTTAGCCTTTTTAAATTACTTTAATTAGTAATTATATTTTAAACAAAAAATAGAATAATGAAATTAAATATGGCGTTTGCTCCACTCGTATACAACTTTCTAAATCAAAGTCCTAGCACTAGCGAAATTTGTGTGTTTATCTATGCGGCTATACAAGAATAATGATATGAATGTTCTCTGCGAATTTACAGGGGCAAAATCAAAACATTGTATGATATTTAAATTTTTAAAATAATTCAAATAATTAATTAACTAATCGGGTTTAATTTAAATCACATATCCCAAGAGGCCCAAGGCTAACCTTTTGATTAAATAAATAAATAAATATATATATATATATATATATTACTTAACCATTACACACATAATTCTCACATATTATTGAATACAAATGATATATACTAAAAAGAAATCGTATAGCCGCCCGGCTATTCTTAGTTTTCCCCTTATTTGCTGTTAAAAATAGTATAGACATGCGGCGATACTCTTTTTTATTTATTTTTATAATAGTATAGCCGCACGACTGTACTTGTTTGACGTGTGGTGCATAGGCGCCGGGTGGGTCTTTATATATAGTAAAGTCAAATTTTTTTATATTAAAAAAAATTAAAATGAAAAGAAAAATTAGATAATGGATCATATTTTTATGGAACCCAACAACCCAATATATTTTTAAATTCTAAATTAAATTTTAAAAAAACCTTTCACAAGAGCGGAAGCGCGTGCGGAGAGTCTAGTATTCATTAAAATAAATTTAACCAACATAAACCAAACCATCCGTCCGATATGGTCATTATGCAGATTTTTTAGATCAAATGCCACTCCTTACTTACACTTAAGAATTGATAGTTCACACATGAAGTATTCTTCCAACAAAAAAGGAGTAAGGACATTTTGAGATTGATTTGTAAAATTTCCATATTTTATATTTTATTAGGGAAGAACTTATGACCCAAGCTTTAGGGAAAAAAATATAACTTTTATAATTCAAGTTTTAACAAACAATTTGAGCTTAAACCAAGCTGAACTTGTCTTATAAAAACATATGAGCTGCTCATTAACTTCATGAGCCAAGTATATTAAAGTTAAAACTTGGGTAGCTTAATAAAATAAGCTTAATATTGTGTTTGAACCACATATGCCCTAGCATAATCGGTAAGAATTTAACAGTAAGGTGATGACCACACATGTCGAATGCCTTTTTGGCATGAAACCGCCAAACCTGCCTCTTGCCAAACTAAATGGCCACACCAAACCTTTCTTCGGGAAAGGATAGGGATGACAATGGGTTGGGTAGAGGCCGGGTATAACAATATCATCTCCGTTCTCGTTCTCCATTCCCGCCTCCGCCACCGAACCCATCCCCGTTTACTAGGTTTCGGGGAATTTCCGTCCCCGTTCCCGTTGGGGGACTATCCCCCATACCCGCGTTGAATTCCCTTTTTTTTTTTTTTTGCATAAAAAAGATTTATCATACATTTTAACATTAAGTTTCATATTAAATTATCATTCAACACATCCAAATTAACTATAAAGTTCAACTCAACTATTCAAAATCACATAAATATGAAATTCTAAAGAAGATTAGGAAGAATTAGGAGAGGGAGGTTAATTTAGGGTTAAACATAAATATTATAATTATATATTTATTTAAATATAAATATATATATTTTTGGGTCGAGTTCGGGTATGGAGATGCCAATACCATCCCCTCCCCATAACCGTCGGGGATTTTTGAAGTTTAGAGATTCCCGTTATGATACCCGTTTGGTCTCGAAATCTCCTCCTGTTAGGGTCGGGAACTCGACGAGGACCCGCTTCTGCAAGGATTTGCCATCTCTAGGAAAAGAGAAGGCGCTCACCTTGGGTATGAAGAAGGAACAAAGCTCCTTTTTCGGTTAGTCACTTGGCATCCAACTTTTAGACACAGCGCTTGTGTGCCACTAAACCCTAAGGACACATGTCGGCACGACAAGCAATGCTATTAGTCCTATATCGAAGAAATTGCAAGGGATGCTTCCCGCCTCGTGTCTATAAATAGGGTAGTTGCCCCAATGCAACAATAATATTTAATTATCACGTTTACTCTTACTTTATCGAATTAATCCCTCAACCCACAACCACACTAGTGCTAATTCAAACATCGAAGTGCCTTCATTTAAGACCACATCAGTGCCTAAGTTCTTACCAAGTTGGAGCATGCCATAAAAATGAGCGGAATGCAGCTATATATACTGGAGCCGGTCAGGAATTGGTGTTGGACTGCTAGTAATTTGGTTTACAAAAGCGAGCGCCAAGCTACGACGTCGTTGGATGGCCACGTCAGGAAACACCGTTGGCTCATATGAGTTGGTTGTTTCCAATCAAAACAAGAAGCGGTGCCAAGCATGCAAGGCAGTGACAAAAATCGTAAGGTAAAAATCTTTACCGCAAATGGTTTCCAAATTTCCATGTCCAAATCCTCCTAAAACGTAAAACGTAAAACGTATATATAAGAAGAAAAAAAGATTAAGAAAAACACGGGGCAAAGGCCAAGAAGGACAGAAAAGAAAGCTTCTTCAAGTCAAGAGGGTCTTTGATTTTTCTGTGTTTCAAAAAAAAAAAAAAAAAAAAAAAAAAAAGCCTCAGATTCTCTGTCTCATCAATCCTCCTCATTCGAGTCTTCGCCAATTCTCTCTCGGCGTCAGTCTCAGGTACGCCAATTTATAATTTCTTCTTTGCTTCTTGATTTAATTCCAGCTGAATTCCGATTCTCAATGTATTATATAACCCTAGATCCTTTCCCTGATTACATTTACATTCATAGATAGTCCAATTGAATCAATTCGCAATTGTGAATTTCTCCTTGTCTTAGATTGACTTCTGTGTACAAGAGCGGATATCTAAGCAGTGAGAAGAAGCTTCTACTGTAAAATGATCGGGACCCAGTAACGTGTTGCCCTAAATTCCATTCCATTTCATTTCATTCATTTTCCTCTTAATTTTGGACTGGGGTTCTAGGAGGTTTTTGCTTATCAAAGGCCTCCAATTTGATTATACTTTCTTCAAAATCTTTGCGTTTCAATAAGATCCATGTGTGCATCTACTTTTCCCACTGCTTCATATCATCCTTCAATTCAATTTATATGAATAACTCGTTTAATTTGCCTTCAAACTTGAAGCCCTCACTTTCTAAGACTGGGTTTCGACATAATTTGCTGCTGCTTTTCCTTATAAAATTGTAATTATCGATCCTGTCTCAGCTTTTTTAGTTTTCAAGAGAGAAAGTTTCGAATCTTTGATGGCTAATCCACGGCAGCCTTCCATTGGATACTCTGTCTCTATCACTCCCTCACACCCAGATACAACATCTCCTGACCCCGAGAAAATTTCCATACCTCCACCACCTTTAATTACACCAGGAGCTCCCAGATTTCCTGTGCCAAGGTTTCAACAGGATCAAGCTCCTTCTCCATCACTCAAAACCCCAAATGCACCATCACCAGCTAATGGGTTGAAAACTGGCAGCCCTATTCCTCATTTGAGTACTCCACCTGGACCTCCTGTCTTTACTTCCCCTGTCCGGCCTGCTGCTGTGCCTTTTCGTGCTTCACCTGCAACTCCTCAGCCAGTTGCTTTCTCCCCGGGCTCATCTTTGCCAACATCTTCGCCCCTCAATTTTTCAAATGGGTCACTTGAGTTGCAGCATGAACTTTCTAATGTTGCAGAGGATGATATAGCGTCTGTTGGAGAATCACCATATGTCCTATTCTCAGCTCATAAGGTATCTTTCTTGTTCTCTTTGGTTTCCAACCTTTATGGTTTCACTATCTGTTTGTTAAGTAATGTAGCGTGTTTTGGATGATGTTACACGCACACACACATACACATTTGTATACATATATATACTGAGTTGATTTTTTTACTTTCTTAAACTTAAAAACTCTAGATTATTTCACCACGCATGCATAATAAGTGTTTCTGTAAGGACATGTTAGATTTCCATATCTGTGTAGTGTAATCATATATTCTTTATCTCATTTTCGCAATAATTTTTGCTTGAAAAGATTTTATTTTCTTCCCCTACATAGTTAAAAATTCAATCGAACCTTTCTCCTACCCATATTGTTATATAGGTGTTGAAACAGAAGAAACAAGCAAATATACCCAGTTTGGGATTTGGGGCATTGGTTTCACCTGGAAGGGAGATTTCACCAGCTCCTCAGATAATACAACGTGATCCTCATCGCTGCCACAGTTGCGGAGCTTATGCGAATATCTACTGCAATATCTTACTAGGCTCAGGTCAGTGGCAGTGTGTAATTTGCCGAGACCTGAATGGAAGTGAGGGCGAATACATAGCTCCCAGCAAGGAAGATCTTTGTAATTTTCCAGAGTTGTCATCTCCCATGGTTGATTATGTTCACACTGGGAACAACAGACCCGGTTTTATCCCAGTTGCTGATTCAAGAATGTCTGCACCTATTGTTCTTGTCATAGATGAGTGTTTGGATGAACCACATCTCTGGGATTTACAAAGCTCCTTGCATGCTTTTGTCGATTCACTTCCCCCAACAACGAGAATTGGAATAATACTCTATGGTCGCACAGTATCAGTTTATGATTTTTCAGAGGAATCGATTGCATCTGCTGATGTGCTTCCAGGAGAGAAATCACCAAGTCAGGATTCCTTGAAGGCATTGATATATGGAACGGGTATATACTTGTCTCCAATGCATGCTTCACTGCCTGTAGCACATGCCATATTTTCATCATTGAGGCCATACAAATTGAAGATTCCAGAAGCTTCTAGAGATCGGTGCCTGGGCACTGCAGTCGAGGTTGCTCTTGCTATAGTTCAAGGGCCATCAGGAGAAATGTCTCGAGGAGTAATTAAAAGGTCTGGAGGTAATAGCAGAATCATTGTTTGTGCTGGTGGCCCCAATACATATGGTCCTGGATCTGTTCCTCATTCTTTCAGTCACCCAAATTATCCTCATATGGAAAAGACTGCTTTGAAATGGATGGAGCATCTGGGTCACGAGGCACACCGACACAATACAGTAGTTGACATTCTATGCGCTGGGACATGCCCTGTAAGAGTTCCTATTTTGCAACCTCTTGCAAAAGCTTCTGGGGGCGTTTTTGTTCTCCATGATGACTTTGGGGAAGCCTTTGGTGTGAACTTGCAAAGGGCATCTACCAGGGCAGCAGGCTTCCGTGGGTTCTTGGCAATACGTTGTTCCGATGATATTCTCATAACTCAAGTCGTGGGTCCTGGTGAAGAGGCACATATGGACACTCATGAAACCTTCAAAAATGACACTTCTCTTTACATACAAATGCTTAGTGTTGAAGAGACACAGAGCTTCTCACTCTCCTTGGAAAATAAGAGGGACATTATGACCGAGTATGTGTACTTCCAGTTTACAATTCAGTATTTAAATGTGTATCAAGCGGATATATCAAGAGTAATTACTGTTAGATTGCCAACAGTTGATAGTGTTTCAGCATATCTTGCAAGTGTTCAAGATGAAGTGGCAGCAGTTCTTATTGCGAAGAGGACTCTCTTGCGAGCTAAAAATTATTCTGATGCAATTGATATGCGAGCAACAATAGAAGAAAGAATTAAAGATATTGCTATGAAATTTGGTTCTCAAGCACCAAAGTCAAAGCTTTATCGGTTCCCAAAGGAGGTCTCTTTATTGCCAGAGCTCCTGTTTCATCTAAGAAGAGGCCCACTTTTGGGAAGTATTGTTGGCCATGAAGATGAGAGATCTGTATTGCGGAACTTGTTTTTGAATGCATCCTTTGATCTCTCACTCCGAATGGTAGCGCCTCGTTGTCTAATGCATCGGGAAGGGGGAACATTTGAGGAACTACCAGCTTATGACCTTGCTATGCAGTCAGATGCAGCAGTTGTTCTTGATCATGGCACAGATGTCTACATTTGGTTGGTATGTCCTTTCTGCTCATATGATTGTCATTCTTTGTGTGGCATCTATCTGCCTTTTGCCTGTTCTTCCCTTCCCCCCTTTTTTCTCTTGTTCCTACTGCTTTGTTTTGCTAACGAGAAGGGCCAAAACCTTGTAATTTCTGACATATTTGGGCTTACCTTGAAAAACATTATTACTATCAATGCCTCAAAAAATATCAGAAATACTTTCTCTGCCTCTGATATATGAACTTATGTAGTATAAGTAAGTGCAGAATCTAAATGCGGTCACATGCAGTGACAGTTGTATCACTATTCATAATTTTGGAATTTTCTAAATCATTTTCTTTTACTCGTTAGAAAATCTTGATGACCTGTTTTTGATATGATTTGGAGGCTAATAATGTGCCTACTAAGGTTCAGATTTTTGGTTCGTTTGTGGCCTCTGGGAAAAATAATACTTGTGAGATGCTCTAAAAAGAAGACTTATGCATGTTCATCTGTTGTTCTGTACATTGGTGTCTTTATTTAAATATGATGATGAAAGTATTCAGATTTTTTTTTTCTGCATTGCTTGTTCACTACGTGTTTGGACCAACTTGCAATTGTTTAGTTTTGTGGGAGATTGACCTAGAACCTACTACTTTTTGGGTACCGGTTTTTATTTTTTGGGAGTTGAGCTAGTAAGAAGATGATTACTCTGCAATGATCTTCAGTCACCGTCGTTTATTGGACTGTTTTAATTCAGACAATTAACAGAATAGGGAGGAAGTGGATTTCCTTTGGGAAAAGAGCATATATTTGACTTCTTTATGAGCATTATATCTCTTATGGAGAGCTTGAAGGTTTTGGGCTTTGGCTGTTACTCCTTATTGCACAAAACAAAAGTAAAGTTGTAATAAAAACTTTTTCTCAAAAGGAATAGGAAAAAATAATAAAGGCTGGGTGTGCTGATCACCCTGGTGTGATATAGAATTCATACGATGACCATAAACTGGAAATGTATGTATTGTTGAGCTTTTGACATCTGTTTGAGCATCACTAAGAGCATTCCTGGGTCTTTGAACTCAAATTTTGGTTTCTTTTGTTCCTTGAGTCTTTCTCTGTTCAGAAATACAATTGATATTTTCAGCTTCTTATTATTTTCTTATTTTTCACCTTAAACACTTTTTTAACTGGTTTATTCAGGGTGCTGAACTTGCTGCTGATGACGGAAAAAGTGCAGCTGCATTAGCGGCTTGCAGGACATTAGCTGAAGAGCTCACGGAGTTGCGGTTTCCAGCTCCTCGGATCCTTTCATTCAAGGTTATTCCTTTCTATAGTCTTTCATTGCTCCATGTCAATTTCCTCTGCCTTTTTCTATGCCTAGAAATAATGAAGATGAACCTAATGGTTTGGTTGTGAAACAGGAAGGAAGCTCTCAGGCTCGATATTTTGTATCGCGGCTCATACCGGCACACAAGGATCCTCCTTATGAGCAGGTGAGGGTGGAGACAATAAACAGGGGTGAATGTGGCTAGTTTTCTCCACAATCCTAAATGGTTTCCTACTTAATTTGGTGTGAATCACGAATTTAACTGTTGCATATTGGCATTGCAGGAGGCAAGATTCCCGCAGCTACGAACTTTGACAACAGAACAGCGGACAAAGCTGAAAAGCAGCTTTCTCAATTTTGATGAGCCTAGCTTCTGTGAGTGGGTACGAAGCTTGAGAGTGGTGCCTCCAGAACCAAGCTAGATGATCTTTACTTTGTTAAACTTATTGGCATAATGCGGCTTCAGGAAGGTAGCGTTGGGAGTTGTATCAGAGGAAATTGTGGCAAAGGAATTTTTCTTCTTCTTCTTCTTTCGTTTTCACTGTTGGAGGAAATTGTAGTTAAGATGTTTCTTGACAGCAAATGATGTAGCTCCCATCATCATCAATGTGATGAACCATCAACATCATCCAGTAGTTGCTGAATGATTATTTTATGCTGCTGAGGCAAAAGAAGGAAGTGTTAATAGTGAATAATGGATTATTTATATACTCATGGAAAAAAGAAAGGTATTGGACTTGAGTGATTTCTCTGTTTGTTGTAACTCCTCTCTTCATGCAAAGAAGAGAACTGATGTCCTAAATGTATCAAAGGCGCCACTGGTATTGGTATTGGTAGTAGGACAAATCGAAGGTGAAACATCCTCACTGCCTTCACCATCGCCACCGTTAACGTTGTTACCATGATGATGATGATGATGATGAACTACATGGCCATGTCGAGCACTCTGAAAATTTAGCATTGAATTATTGGATCAGTACATGTCTTCAGAAGATATGATTGGTTTGGATAATTGCTCTTCTTGATATTCTCAAGAAGCACCAAATGTGGTCGCCTCAGCGCAACCAACTCTTGCTCGTCTTTGTGAAACTTGCATCGCGTCCCTTCTTTAGCTTCTCTCTTGTTTTGTTTCCTCATCTCTTTGTTCTTTTCCTTTTCTCAGTAGTTTCTTCTGTTTGCTCCATCGTCTTTGCCATTGTTATTTGAGGAATTGATATTAGTTAGGTCTTCTTCTCAATTTATATTTATATAGCTAAGGATCACTAGTGATATCTTTGCTTCTTGTTTTAAATATCCTATTCCTCCAAACCGACTGATCAAATCCAATTGTGGTCAATTTTCATTGACAAAAAAGAGTGATAAATTTCGATAAATTGACGGACTAGATTAGATTCACAAATTCCATGATCGACATGATAACACAGTAGAAATCGGACCTCTATGATGGTATAACCGTTGCACTAAAAAAATTACGAGCTAAGGTCTCTACTTGACGAAGATGAAGATGATTCCAAGTAGCTAATATGATCCCTAAACAATAACCATTTTTTCTAATTGCTGTCCATTATTTGCTCCTCTATCTCTGTAATCTAACAACGTGTATTTCTGTGAGAAAGAAAGAAGAAAAAAGAAGGAAAAAAAACCGGTTTTTGTCTTCATGTTCTGTAATCTTTTTTTTCTTTTTGGGTACTGAACGTAAATTCCCCCACTCACCCACCTTATCCCCTCTCGTTTCATACTTGAGAACAAGCCTCTGGATCCTGGGCTTTTCTTCAAAACAGAGACGGCATGAAATGAAACTCATCCATTTCTCAATAAACAAGTGGTTGTGAATTCAAGACAGGAAATTTGAATCCCTGACTTCATAGCCGGAAGGAATAATGGCGGCGACACATCTGTGTGAGTCTCCTCTGGTGAAGCATCATCACCCTTGTGTTTCACTGTCACCCCTGTGCTCTTCTAAGCTTTCCCATACCCTCCTAGACCTCAAAAAATCCCAATTGGGTACCTTTTCTTTCGGTGGAAAAACCTTTCAAATGCCCAAAACATCAAGAATGGCAAGTCGAAGAAGGCGACGAATGCAAGCAGTGGCTTCGTTGGGAGGTTTGTTAGGTGGGATTTTCAAAGGGACTGACACTGGCGAGTCCACGAGGCAGCAGTATGCCTCCACCGTGTCTGTCATCAATGGCTTGGAAGCTCAGATGTCTGCACTCTCCGATTCTGAGCTGAGAGAAAAGACACGGCTCTTTCAAGAACGTGCCAAGCAGGGCGAGTCTTTGGATTCTCTTTTACCTGTGAGCATTTTGAAACTTTGTTGCTTCGTTTATTATATCTTCTATCCTCACTTTGTGGTGTTCTCTAGCATGGTAATTAAAGATGGGTTTTGTGTTTTTGAATGTGTTTATTGCTCAGTCTGGGGATGCTACTGAATTGTTGTTGTTGGATAACTATTTTAATGATGATTGTTTGAATGATCGAACCAATTCCTCTAAGGTGTAACAGTGGCTTACTTACTAGTTTTTCATTTATAGTTGAAGTGCTATATTTGCTTTCAGTATATTTATAACCAAAGAAGCACTACCATTTCAGGAAGCATTCGCTGTCATAAGAGAGGCTTCGAAGAGGGTTTTAGGCCTTCGTCCCTTTGATGTCCAACTCATAGGTAGATATCCTTCACTCTCTGCATACTATCTGAATCTTGCTCAATCCTTCCCGTCAAGATAGTTGAATGAGCATTCAATTAAGCTCCTGCTATTATATCTTTATTTACATCACTCATTGTCGCAACAGGAACACCACCTTTGTGCTAAAATATGTATATGATTGTGCCTTCACTTATCGGATCTTACTTTTTGATCATTTAGGTGGCATTGTCCTTCATAAGGGGGAAATAGCTGAAATGAGAACCGGAGAAGGAAAAACCCTTGTTGCTATCTTACCAGCTTATTTGAATGCATTAATTGGAAAAGGTGTTCATGTTGTTACTGTCAATGATTATCTGGCCCGGCGGGATTGTGAGTGGGTTGGCCAAGTTCCTCGTTTCCTTGGATTGAAGGTTGGCCTAATCCAGCGTATGTCTCGTTCTTATATATTTGTTGTACCCTGCATTCTGTTTCCTTCTATATCCATTTCTATTGGTTGATATGTAGGAGCAAGGCTAGCTCCTAGAAACTTGGAAATTGATCAATTGAGTGCTTGATGCCTCACTCTTCCTGCAATTTGAAAGTCTAATCATTCCCAGTCTACTTCATTTTAATATTCTGGAACTTAATTTTTCAAAAATAAGATTATTGAAAATATTATTTAGAGCCTAGTTCTTGGTCAGTTATTGTTTGTTTGCAAGTTTACTGAAATTTTTCTAGGACTGAAAATTGTTGTTGGTTATTGTTTCTACATATTGCTTGTTTTCTAATTAAGATTGAAATAATTACCTAACAACTGGATGTTTTCCGTGAGCAGAGAATATGACAAGTGAACAAAGAAGGGAGAATTACTTATGTGACATCACATACGTTACCAACAGTGAGCTTGGTTTTGATTACTTGAGAGATAATCTGGCCACGGAAAGTAATTCTTGCTTTATTTGCTAGTTCCGTCTTATGTTACTTTGTTGCGAATAATTTCAATCCATTTGATGTTTAACTATATTATTCTAGCTGAATGCATTTCTTCATATGTACAGAGTGTTGAGGAGCTTGTCTTGAGGAACTTCAACTACTGTGTAATTGATGAGGTTGATTCCATCCTCATTGATGAAGCAAGGACACCTCTCATAATATCTGGACCTGCAGAAAAACCTAGCGATCGGTATTATAAAGCTGCAAAGATTGCCGCAGTCTTTGAGCGAGAGATACATTACACTGTAGGACTGCTGTATTATTTGAAAGCAGAAGTTTCTCTATTTGAAAGGATTCATAAATTCCAGGTGCCTTTAATGGTAAATTAGTTGTTCTAGTTATATTCTTACCGAGCTTTTTGTTGCAGGTGGATGAAAAGCAGAAAACAGTTCTGCTCACAGAACAGGGTTATGAAGACTCTGAAGAGATTCTGGGTGTAAAAGATTTATATGATCCCCGAGAACAGTGGGCATCTTATGTTCTGAATGCAATAAAAGCGAAAGAACTCTTTCTTAGAGATGTAAACTATATCATTCGTGGCAAAGAGGTTCTTATTGTTGATGAGTTTACAGGTCGAGTTATGCAGGTGATTAGTGCATTTTTTTTCTTAATTTTTGTTAGAAGTTGGCAAAATAATTATCTCCTTTTTTTATACTGGTATATAAACTAATTGCCATAGGTACAAATAAGGAAGGTATAAAAGTCAACTATACTAGTAGCATTACAACTAATATACAGCTAATTAACTATTTAGCCTATTCTGGTCTTTACTCTAACACTTTCCACCTAACAGAAAACATTTTTCATGTAGAGTTATCTTATAAAATTTGCAATTTGCAGTATATTGACTTTCCTGTGGCAAACATTAAGGTTATATTTGTTAATCTCTCACGGGGCAGGATTATAGTGGCTTGTTATTTGTCATTTAGGGGAGGCGATGGAGTGATGGACTTCACCAAGCGGTTGAAGCAAAAGAAGGTCTGCCAATTCAAAATGAAACTGTAACACTGGCTTCAATTAGCTACCAAAATTTCTTTCTCCAGGTTGGAGCATTCTATCTCTCATCTCAATAAGTGTTGCATCTCTAGAAATTTATGTTCTTGAAATTAATTAATTAATTTACCTGTACAGTTCCCGAAACTTTGTGGGATGACTGGCACTGCAGCAACTGAAAGCACAGAATTTGAAAGCATATACAAGCTTAAAGTTACAATTGTGCCAACAAACAAGCCCATGATTAGAAAGGTATGCTATACTGTTCTAGCATACCATTATAAAATGATGATACTAGGCTATAAAAATTGTGCTACAAATATGTACTCTTATTTCCATTTCTCATATATAAGTGGTTTAATAATTAGTTTTGAATACCTTGTATAAAAAATATAAGTAGATTTGCATAAGAGGTGATGGTTTATTTTACTATAATTAGGTACAATGCCTTTCAAGTTTCTCATCATCTCTTCAATCTCTTTCTCAGGATGAGTCCGATGTAGTTTTCAGGGCAACTACAGGAAAATGGCGGGCAGTTGTAGTAGAGATTTCTAGAATGCACAAGACAGGTCGTCCTGTACTTGTTGGCACAACTAGTGTTGAGCAGAGTGACTCGTTGTCTGAGCAGTTGCAAGAAGTTGGAATTCCCCATGAGGTGTGGTCTCCTCTGTCATTATGGTTTAAGTTCATTACTTAGGGATTTTGTACATATAATTAAATTATTTGATGTACAATTGAGAGTGAAGTTAATCTTTAAATGATTTTTGTTTCTCTAACTTTGGAAAATTTTATTTAGAAACTGTAGAATACTTTATGTCCTTTGTCAGAGGAAATTTAGTATTTTTGTTTTTGTTTATTTTTTATGTAGGTTCTCAATGCAAAACCAGAGAATGTGGAAAGGGAAGCAGAAATTGTAGCCCAAAGTGGTCGTCTGGGGGCAGTGACCATTGCGACCAATATGGCTGGTCGAGGAACTGACATTATCCTTGGTGGGAATGCTGAATTTATGGCAAGGTTGAAGCTTCGGGAGATGCTTATGCCAAGGTATCATCATCTGAGCTTCAAGAATATTTTTATTTATATTTATTTTTCCTGTAAAAGTTTACACCCTTAGACACCCGGTCTGGACTC